AAAAGTTTAAAATTCATCTAAAACTGCTTGATTTTATTAGTGGGTTTAATTATCGATATAATAGCAGAATGATTCACTTCTTTGCTAAGTTCATACCTAATTCTAACACCCTCACTAGGTTCACCTAAAATCAAATTTTTATGGTGATTCTTAAAGAGAATTTATTCTCTAGGCAAAGGATTTTTTGTTCAACCATTCTCTTCTAAATTCGTCTTTTCAATTTTGTGGCATATATCTTCAAAATGTTCTTCCTCCAACATTGGCTCTTTCGAAATATCAGATTCATAAAAAACTATATGTGTGATTTCTTCAACTACCAAAATTCTCTTGTTAAAAACCCTGCAGAATTTGCCAACAATTGAATATCCTAGAAAAATTACTTCATTAAATTTAGGATCAAATTATCATAAAATGAGTTTTACCATTATTATGAATGAACACCATACATCCAAAATTATGTAAATATCAAAGAATAGGTGTTCTCCCCTTAAGAAGTTCATAGGATATATTGTTCAATTTGAATCTAATGTTCATCTTATTCAGAACATAACAAGCTGTACTAACTACTTCAGCCCAAAATATTTTGGATGTGAATATTCTGCCAATATGGCTCTAGCACCTTCTATTAATGTTTTGTTCTTTCTTTCGATAACCCCATTTTACTAAGGGGTCATATGTGCTGAAAATTTGTGATCAATTCCCTGATCTTTATAAAAATCTTCAATTTTTTTTTTTCAAACTCTCCTTCATGATCACTTTGAATTGATAAAATTTAGCACTCTAGTTTTCTCTAAATCCTAGTAGAAATGTTTCTAAATTCATCAAATGATTCACTCTTATGAAATAAAAATTTGACCCAAATGAATCTTGAATAATAATCAACTATTACAAACTCTAAATTTTTATCTCCTAAACTTACAGTGGTAACCGGTCCAAAAAGATCAATGTGAATAATTTCTAGTGGTGTACTAGTTCTAAAATCTTTAATTGAATGAAAGGAGGACTTCACATTTTTCCTTATTAACATACATCACACAGGTGATCCTTAGTGAAGTCTATTTTGGGTATCTTCTAAATATTCATTAGTAATTATTTTGAGACAAAAAACATTAAATATTTAACAAAATTTAATTTTTTTTTAGTAATCTTCTAAATATTTTTCATGCTTGCGTGACAAAATCTTCTATGTCATAACTATTATTCATTAGTAATTATTTTGAGACAAAAAACATTAAAACATTTAACAAAATCTAAATCAAGCATGTATATATTATTTACCCTATTTCCATGCAACATATCTATTTCATTTTGGCTTATAATGCACCTTGTGAGAAAAAAATTTAACACTATAACTTTTATCACAAAGATGACTAATAATCAACAAGTTACATTTTAAACCTTCAGCCAATAATATATTTTCAATAAAAAAATTGTTCTTGTTGCCAATCATACATATACCTACCACTTTCCTTTTGGTATTGTCTCTCGGTGTCACTTTGCCTTCATTTCTGGCTTCCTATGATATGAATTGTGTTGTATCTCTAGTCATATGCTTCCAACATCCACTGTCCAAGTACCAAATATTCTCATAAGGACTTATATGAGAGCGATTCTATAAAATGATCAAACGTTAAACTTGGGAACGCAAAAAAGTTTGGGTTATTCTCTTGACAATAATAATCTAGATGAATATTTAATATGATGTGATTTATGCATCTTATGTCTCAACACTAGATGTGTTCTACTATGAATCATGCAAGTGTTAGGATATGACTAATCATTCCACAGGAAAAATATTTAACTTCAAGAAAAGGATTTACCAATCTATGATAGTTATATTATCTCTTTTTAGGTTTTAAAAATTAATGGTTCTGATTAGGATTAAAAAATTGTTCGTGTTGGGGATATCTTATTTTTCTCAAGAGCATTCAATTTATCTTTAAGATATAAGTTAGCACTTTCTAAAACAGCATTGTCAACTCTTAACTCATGTTCTCTTTGATTTGTTTCATTTATATACACCTTACATTCATTTTTAAGATCAATATAAGATGTTTTCAATAAATCCTATTTTTTGTTTAAATCATCCAATAATTTCATGTGGTTGCTATCAATAGATGCATGATCATTCCTAAGGATTTTATGCTTTTTTTTATAAATTTTAATACTCTATGTTTAGTTTGTCATGCAATTTTTTGAGTTTACTATATGTAGTATGGATTTTCTCAGAAACTTCAAATAACTCATTATTGGATAAATCACTTACCTCCTTTTGATCCGACTAATCAAGTTTGTCAGCCATTAAGCTTAAGTTTATGACTATTTTCTTCGCTTTTATTTTTGAGAAATTTGATGCTGAGTCCACCTAGAATGCTCTCTGTAGTCTTTTTTTGCCCTTCCTAACATTGCTTTTCTCGTCAACTTTCTCCTTGTTAGGATTAGCTTTGAGATTTGAGCAATCAGAATTAATATGTTCAGGCTTCATACATTCATAACAATTTACGTCATTTGAAACTTTTGTATTTCTATTAAATTTACCCTTGTTCTAATACTGACGTCTTCTTTGCTTCCTCCTAAGAAAACTTTTGAATTCTCTTTTCATTAAGGCAATATCTTCTTCAACCTCTGATAAAGATTGATCGTTAACTGAATCCTCCACTTTCAATGCTATATTCTTCTCACTTGTCACCTACATCAATCTGTCTTTGAGCCACTCCTCTTTCGTAAGTAATTAGTAATCAAAGAAAATTGTCAATAGAATAAATATTTAAGACTTTTAACTTAGTTATGATAGTTATCTTTGAATCATAAGAAGTAGATAAACAACAAAGAATTTTATTAACTTAGTTCCATACCTAAAGCATACAATGAGGAGACTATCTACGTGAAATGAGTATGCATGTTAGTGATTGATTCATTCAATTTCATGCAAAAAAATTCATACTCGTGTAATAGAATGCCCAATCTACATTGTTTCACCTCATTAGTTCCTTCATACGTTATACAAAGTCTATCCAAAAATAATTTTCTAGTACTACATGTTGAAACATGCATATAATCCTCAGATTTCAGGGCAGTGAAAAATTTGTTTAAGCATTTAGCTTTTAACTGAGCTAATTATTTTTCTCTACTGCCCAATCAATGAACAGTGTTTCAGTCCTAATGCCATCAAGTCTAATGGGTCTAGTGTAACCTTCCTCTACTAAAATTCACATGTGATAATCAAGTGATTACAGAAAAGTAAACATACATATTTTTCAAAAGTCGAAAGGAATGTTATCAAACAGTGGTTGTCTAGATATCGGATATCCTTCAGGACTGTTCTGGTTTCCAAGAGTAGCCATGATCATTTTCAAAAAATTGCCTAAACCTTAAGTTTTGAAAATAGTTTCTGATACCACTTGAAAGTTCGAATAAGTTGTTAAATGTAAAAGATTTGACCAAAGGCTAACCAAGGGGGGTGAATTGGTAATTTTAAAAAAATTCTTAGTAATTTAGAAAACCGATTTAAGATCTTTAGCATAACGATAAATTTTCTCAAAATAATTTTTCAACCAGTCAAAGTAAATGTGCAGAAAATAAAAATACAGTAAAAATAAAAGAACATAAAAACATCAAATTTTATAGTGGTTCGGTCCATCTAGACCTATGTCCACTCCCTGAAGACTCCATAAGTTATTGCACTATATCAAAGTAACTCTCTTTTTGCTCACACAGTAAGGCAAAGAAGCCCTTATAACAACCTCTCCTCCACCAACCCCCGGTGCAGCAGAGTACCGTCATCCTTACTCAATCTCCTGCTGATGATAGAGTACCAACATCCTTTTTCATCCCCTTAGTGATGGTAGAATACCAATGTCCTTTCTCACCTTTATGGTGACGACAGAGTACCAACATCATTTCTCACCCTCCTGGTAATTGCAGAGACCAACGTCATTTCTCACCCTCCTGGTGACGGCATAATATCGGATCTTCTCTCAAGAGTCTTCAAAGAAATAAAGCATAAATTTGAAGAACACAGAAAAAGATCCTCACCTTTGGGCAACTTTATGAACTCTTTATAATTTCCACTTACAAGATCTCACAACCCACTTTTAAACACTCCCCCAAAACACTCTCTCTATTATTACCAAGAGAAAATTCTCAAAAGATGGATAGTAAATGTTTAGGACACTTCTATATGAAGGACAAGAATAAACGCCCAGAAACTGAAAATTTCAAGTCAAACGTACTTATATCATACATTACGATCATACTTCATTTGTACAAACAGTTAAAAAAATCATGTATAATTATTTACGAACCTGATTTTGTACTATGTCAATCGTATGTACGAATTGACATCGTACAGTACCAGTAGTTCAAAACTGAACAAGTTCGTCCAATACGATTTCATAAAAATCTATTTCGTATACTGTGAATCGTCTCTACGAATCCATTATTATACAATATGAACTACTTAAATAAATCATGTTTCATATAATACGAATGTGGACGATCCCATTTCATACTTTGGCTGTCGTCTGTATGAAACCAAGTTTGTACAATACGAACAATTCAAAAAATTTAGGTGTTCGTATTGGACGAATTGGTATGCACCCATTTCATACTATGTACATCGTTTTACGAAACTCACTTCGTACAGTACAATCAGTTCAAGAAATGGTGAATTCATTCGGGACAAACTGGTACATATCCATTTCATACTCTGGAGATCGTCTGTACGAATCTATCTTCGTATAGTACGAACAATTCAAAAGAATTTTCTAAGGCATGATTTAATTAACTTAGTTCTGGAGGAACTATCATGTCAAATCGTCCAGTGCAATTCAACAATCGTACATAACAATTAGTTTTAAAAATAAAAGTTTTGACTCACTTCCCCAATGTGTGCGTGCATGATTATCTAATTAAAATCACTCTACCAGACTCAAGAAAAACAAAAAAAGATCAGACTTCGATGTTGAAGTTGCAGAAGAAATGCATGTGCAGAAGAAATGCATGTGCAACACTATTTTATTGCTGGCTCTCCACACAAATCTAAATGATTTCGAGCTACGTTTTTAGAAAAAATAAAAAAAAGGATATGCTAACGAAGCTAAATCATTTCAAAACATAAAAAAAGTCGATCAACGACCACAAGAAATAGGCTACAGAAATATCTACTAGTCACTCGTGATCCACTAAAATTTGATACAAGTTCGAATGACAGCAACTTTTTGTCAGTGACGACCACAACAACATGCCACAGTCGCCTGGTTGGAATCTTGCTAAATCATGTTCACCAATTCCTGCAAAACCTCGAGCAAAGCAGCTGGTATTCAAAACGTGACCAAGCACCAGGAGTATTCTAAACTTGAGCAATTGAAAAACATGCTCTTCGAACCAGCTGAAGGAATATTTCCAGGACATTATCATCTCAAGCTTCCATTTTCAACCCATTCTTTCTATCTCAGACTGAACCAAGGCCTACCAGGTATAAGTGATGAACTGATGGTATTAAAAGACGAGTAGAGTTCCAAACTCAGCTCTAGCTTCTTTCTTACTTTCTACAAATAAGCTTTCATTGAAGATCAAGAAACTTGAAATTTAAAACTTGCATAAAAGATCTGCCTGCTCCCGAAGAAGGATTAGCAGCGGTAGGCACACGAAGAGAGGAACTTTCTATATGGGTACGAGGTCAACAAGAAATTCCTGAATTCACAAGATGATTGACTGGATACCATTTGGAGTTTCATAGCAGCCAAAGCAGAAACAACAATAAAGGTCGTTTCTCAGAGAAGTTGAAAGCTTATTGATGGTCGGGAGCTTGTTTTCTTTCATTCGTTCTCACATTAATATCATGACGAATGTTACTTGAAGCTGTACCCAATGCTTGAGCAAAAATTCTCTTAGCAGCCCCAATCCGTTCCCTTTCCAAGAACTCCGTGCTTGCTACCTTTCTATGTGCAGCTAGTCCATCACGCATGTTTCCATTAGGTTCTGAAGAACAGTCATAGCCGCTGTTCTTAGCTGGAAACTTACCACCTTTCTTTTGATAGGGAACTGGCTTGCGTATTTCAAAATGCTCACTGGTTTCTTTTGCATCTTTTGAACTACAAACATTTGAAACCTCATATTTATCATTTCCTTCACATTTGTGCAGATAGGACGCCTTTTGACCAAGTGCATGTGCAATCATCCGCTGAGCAACCACAGGAACTTTCCGAGTTTTTGGTGGAACAACTTCCTTCTCATTAGCTTCATTTAAGGAGAAGATTCGCTCACGAGCAGCTGCATAAGCAGCTTCTCTTACCTCCAGTGGCTTTGCAGATGGAATAGTTTTGCTCTCCTTTATCTCTGCAAAATGGAGGCAAGCCATCAGAACTTACAGAAAAATACATGCATGGTACATGAAGAGTTCATAGAACAGAAATGAAGTAATCCAGGAAATTCATGACCAGAAAGCTTTTACAAGAACATGTAGATGACATGAAGAGGGAGAACTCAGAAGGCAGCAATGAAGACGGCAGATCATGGGCCTGTATGCCAACCAGCATGCTGGCCCACTCTTGACAGCAATAATTTTTTTTGGGATAAATTTGAGGGCAGAGCTCATTCTATATAAAAAAGAAAGGAGTACAGTGAAAAAACCCAAAAACAGCCACTAACAAAAACTGTGGCCTCAAAACATTAAAAAGCAATAACCCAAAATACAAGAACAGAAAATCAAAATTGACAGAAAAAATCCGTCTGGCCAGGACTCCGAATAAACTGTGCATCAAGTATAGTGATCAAATCTTCTTTGGTTGTCCGAAGACCATCCAAAAGGAGGTACGACAGACGTCATCATTGTCCTAGGCCCAAAAAAAGGGGTCTGCCTGGCAAAAACAGTGGGATAACCGCAGGTAATTCTTGAGGCTGATGATAGCGTCTCGGTAGGCAACGGAAGGCATCGGAAGGCTTCCGTTGGGTTGCTGTACTATTTTGTTGGAGGCAGTTCTGGGCTGGTTTGTTTTTTCGTCTGCTTTGCTGGACGATTTATGGAATTATGTTTTAGTTGGAATGGATTCTCCCAACTGAATATCAGTCTATTGCTATATCGAGAAATCATACTGCTGTATTTTCTGAAGCCTTCCAATGTTTTTTTTTTCGAATCGTTGCATTTTTCATCCCCACGTATGCATGTGCACACATTCATAATATTAATCATAAACCAAGAAGCGTCATCACAATTTTTTCAGGCCTAGAGCTATCTCAAAAATCCTAGCCTTAATCTTTCTTAATATCTCTCGTCATAGCATCCCAGTCAAATTGGTTTTCTTAGACTTCGAATTTATGAATCACAAATACCACAGTTCCATCATCTACAAAAAAAAAAAAAAAAATCTACTTTCTTTCATCCTGAGGGACAGGCATTACTGCACGAGCAGGATAAGGTCAACCCTCACACACGTCCCAATCAGAGGCAGATTCACGCGGGGGGCTATGGGGGCACGGGCCCCCACTAACTGCATAATTACTATCTAATTAATATCTAATTAAAGCTATTTATGGTAATGCAATTATACAAAAGAATAGCTTTAATTTTTTTTCCTTCCGACTTCTTCAAACTCTTGCGTTTCATACTTCACGCACAGCACGCGGCAGCCGACATGCTTTCTTGAGGTTCCTCGTCCTTATGCATCACGACAAGTCTCTCTCTCTTTCTATCTATCTCTCTCCACCGTTGTATCTTATGTTGGCGAGGATGTCGAGGTAGACGGTTCTCGCCCAAGAAGCCCTGGCCCTTCCCCGCCTCCGTACTTCTCTTCGGCCCCCCACATGCTACTTGCGCTATGCAACGACGTCCAGGATGGGGATTCGCCTGCCGGTGTCGGAAGATCTATCACGATTCCGACCCCCGTGGTGTCGATGATGCTGCTAAAGAAGTGGTTTCAGACCAAATTTAGCCCAGAGCAGAAGGACAGGATGCTGGAGCTCTCGGAGAGACTTGGATGGCAGCTTCATAAAAGAGATGAAGAATTGGTGGAAAAGTACAACAATGAAATTGGAATTGGCAAAGGCGTTTTTAAGGTATGGATGCACAATAACAAACGCCATTTGTATGGGCACTCGGGCTCTCATAAAGGAGAAACGATGAGCGGCGTTTCTCTCTCCGCCGCCGCTGCTTTGGTTGGCGGTGTTGCGGGAGTGCATAAGGTTGATGAAAATGGCAATGCAACGAATGGTGCATGTCGAAGGAAATTTTAATTTTATGGAAATTTGTGACTTTTATAGTTCTATGTGTGATACTCACAAGTCACAACTCTTTTAAAATTTTCAGTAATATCTAAAAATTTGACTCTAATTAGTTATTATTATTATTTTTTAAAATCAATTTATTCTTCATTGTTATATTATTACATTTTCATTATTTCAATAATTTATTCTTGATTGCCGGATGAAAAAAAGTTAAAATTCAATAACTAGTGCCCCCACATAAAAAAAATCATTGCTCCGCCGCTGGTCCCAATGTACAAAATTTAACACCTTTTTGCTCCATTTACAAATTGTGTTACTGTTGTGGTCCCAGGAACTAACCAATCAATGGCACGCCGAGACGACGTAATAAATATGTGCAAACAATTATCCATAAAAAGGAATTAAGCCAAGAAAGCCAAGTTCGATCCATGAGCAAGTTGGCCCAAATTCAATCTAAGTCAACTTATTCTCATCGGAATTCACCAAATTTGCAAATGAGCTTTATTCGAAGCAAATCAATAGGACTTACCAAATTGGCTACAAATGAGCTTATTCAACAAAAATGGACTTTTTGTTCGTATAGGAGATAATTATCGGCAATTCATCTACTTATGCATGACAAGCCAGTAAGCTCGATTGGCGACTTCCTCAAGTTGGGTATTCTAATGACTTAATAGTCTTCATCAAATCATCATCTAATGTATATAAGAGAAATTGAGCTAGACAACTCTTAAACTTTTTCTTAAATTTTGCATAGTTAAGTATGTGGTCAATTTTGTAACATTTAATCCTTCATGACAAAAATGGGTTAAAAGGATTAACTTGAGTTATGCAATTTTCTATACTTGAGTGTATTACAATAAAATCACAAAGCTTCTCACTCTAAAATTCTTTCTTTCTATCTTCATTTCACTTCTTTTTTTTTTTCATTCAATACACATGGCAAGATTTGATATGATTCACGGACAAGTTTAGATTCAACATCCTCAAAAGGTTCGGTGATCGAGGTGTATGCCATAAACTAAAAGAGGAGTACTTCATGAAGCAGAATTGCAATGCAAAGATAGATAACAGTCAGGATACATGGACAACCAACAAGAGTATTCTTACAAGGAAACTTACACAATTTGAGGAGAGTGTGAATGATTCAATTTTCATTGGAGCAAATTCAAAAGGTTCCTTTTAGCATAATGCTACAAGAAATCTCTTATGATTTTATTGTAGGAGACTATCAGGAGCAAGTACTATATTCTATTCAAGCAGCAAATGTGTCACGACCCGGACCAGTTAGCTCGTGTAGACGAGGCGGGAATGGAATCAGACGTTTAGAACATTTCAATCATCTTAAAACATGTATTTAAGAATCTAAAAGACTTCAACAGAGATTTAAAATCGCCTCTAAATTCTCCCAATATAAAAAAAAAATATATTTCATATCATTTCATGTCATTCAAAATTTACATAGGTAATGCTAAACCACCCAAAAAGGAAATCAACAACAATTAAAAAAACATTAAAAGAACCTATCAACCGGTACACGACGACTGTATGTAGACCTTGGGTTGTCAGCCATCTCTTGCAGAAGGTTCTCTTAAAAAGTATCCTAACACGAGGGAGTGAGCTAACGCTCAATAGGAATTCTCTAATCCTAACATGTTCACATGCCTTAAAAATGAAAATTCACATTTCATGCTAGTGATGAAATGCCTTAATTGCTTTCCTACACATGCTAGTTTTCGTATGTCTTAGGAATGTTGGATGCCTCATAAATGTCATATGCCATATGTATGTTATGCGTCGTATGGATATCATAACTTATGTATATTATATGCTTATTCATATTTATTTAATACAACCGAACCGAAGTACCAGGAGTGTACTTATCAGGTACACAAACATCTTTTTTGTCATTCATTTCTTTTCCTCTTTCGCCCCAAAGGGCCATATCGTTCCCGTATTGCTCATAAGAGCCATATTTGCGCTTTCACACCATATTTGGTACTCCGCATTCAACATGCACAAGCATTATTCATATTTATTTACATTTTTCTTCGTGCAATTCCTTTGTCTAATATGTCTTAGCATTCCTTAACAAAATAATCCAAAATGGAGAAACCCTAAATTCGGAACTTAAGATTTTCCTTAAGAAAATTTCAAGTTTAAGACTTAAAAATGTAGGTATAACTAAGCCCTAACATTCTTCTAAAGAAATCTTCAATAAAATCCAAATCCTAAAATTTCACAAGCAAAAAATCTCATAAAAGAGGGAGTTCTTGCATGAAAAACTTGCCTCTTATCTTCTCCAAGTCTTTCTCTAACTTTTTCCTGAAGGATCTTGCCGAAAACTCGCCGGCCACCGCCAGCCGAGTCCAAGCCTTCGCCTTCTCCTCCCTCTCTCGCGTGCTCTCACGTGCCGGCCGAACAAAACACAAGGGACCGAAAAATTTCGGTCCCTAAGAGTTGTTTTGTCTATTAAGAGGGAGAGGGATCACCAAATGATGCATGTACCCTTGCTAATAAAACTTTCCTTAAGAGCTCATGAGGGCAATAAGGGAAGAAATGGTTAATTATTACTTAAACTTCTTTGGTGAATTTTAATTCCCAAACCATACGAAATTTGATATGAGTTCTTTATTTCGTTTCAATCAAAATTTTGTGTCGAATTTAATAAAATTTATTTCATCGAATTTCAACGACATTGAAATTTCGCCTAAATTTATCGCAGCGCATCGAAATGCGTGCGACACATTCGAACGACAAATTTCGGGTTTTACAAAATGAGACATATTACCCTAACATTAAGAAGTAAACTTCTACCTTTCACCAAGAAGAGAGAAGTGTTAAGAAGACAAAGTCACAGATTACAATACTTTTCAAGAGAGATTGCTAAAGTGAAAATTCCAACGAAGTTCATGATTTCTCATATTGAATTGTTTAAAGGGAAGATGAATCTCGCCGACTATGTCGCTTATTTTGAATTTGTTGTCACATTGCTCGGTATTAGTGACGTATTGAAATGCAAAATGTTCTTCACTACCTTCAAGGAATCTTCCCTTCAATGGTTCCCACTATCAAGACCCGGACTGGTAAGCTCGTGTAGATGAGGCGAGAACGGA